TAGCAGTATGAGGCTGGCATTATTTTGTACAAGCTTTAATCACAGCAAATTGGTCAGCAATGTGTCCGACAGAGAGATAAGGGTGTTGTTGAGTTCTGTTGTGGTCTCCTCGATCAGATCGCCCAGCAGCATTTCCTCCAGTCTGTAAAACACAAACAATCAGACATTAGTCATCGCAATTAATTTGCAATTCAAGCTGTACGCACATTTCAATGACTGCATATTGCGTCATTCCAGTCTCAGCGAGGGACGATTCCACAAGACGGCGGTGGTGTTGAAACTTGTGTCTTTTCCGCTCGATGGACTGGAGACGTTTACCTTGTAGGATTGAAGTTCCCACCGTCGTTTCTGCAAACAACGTTTGTTGCGCTGGAGCCTTGAGCTCAATGAAATCAAATTCATCGTTGTTGAAAGCCATGCTCCAATCAGAAATTTCGGCAACGCGTCCAGACGGCGACGGATTTCCGTCTCCGTCAGATACGTTGATATTCATCACCACTTCAAGCGGGAGCGTCAAGTTCGATAGGTTTACGCTTTCGTGCTTCGCTGACTTCTGGTTAATAATGCCGTGACGTGACGCAGTCGGAAGATTGCATTTTACACCTTGGGTTTGATAGCCAAGTGCCAGTCCTTGATGAATCATGCTGTCCTCCTCTCGTTTGATCTCGTGAATGCGAGCCAATATATCGTCAAGTTGATCGGCGTGGTGAGCTTCTAGCCGGTGGTAAGACTGTTGTCTGTCGTCCTCGTTAAGCAACTGCACCGTGTCCTGTATATTGTCATGGTCAGCACTATTGAAGCACCTTTCAGCTTACTGCCACTAGTCATAAAACCTCACCAGTAGGATGTCGTCCAAAATGGCCGTTGCGAGCACATCTGAATGTTGCGCTATCGTAGCCATGTCTTGTGGAGGAAGAAACAGTGACAACTTCGAGCCATGCCGCTGCTGAATTTCTCGGAGAGTGGTCTCAGCTTGGTGTACGAGCGGAAACAGAGAGGCCTGCATTAACAATTTCGATACCAACAGGACAGTCAGCCAGAATATTTGCGAGTAAAACACACCTATCACTTTACCCGAAGACTGTAGACGACATTAGCTGCTCGTTTCAGAAAACGATCCGATCTGGAGTGGCCTGCTTCGTTCTCAAATTGATTATTTCCAGATTCAGGTGCCCATCGTAAGGCTGCTGTTGCTTGTGCTCTCTCAAACATTCCCTCGATTCGATTCTAGAGTCAAGAAAATCAACACACTGTGTCAGGTAATTACATGCTAGTACGGGGAATATGTGGAAGCTACCTGGATTTCCTCAAGATAGGGGTCATCATCTGGAATGGGCTCATGTTCAGCTGATATGATTGTCTCCCGCTGGACGGAAGTTGGAAACTGGGCCTCATCATTGTGTGATGCATGGCGCGTTCGAGTTAGCGGGGCAGACGCGTGATCTCGTTTAGGAGCTAGAGAGCTCGGCTGTTCACCTTTGAAATAAGGTGAGCGGGACGGTGGCATGGAGCTGTACGGTGGCATGGAGCTGTACGGCGAATGCTCAGAAGTGTTGCGAATGGACGGTGAATGAGAGGCCTCCGCGCTACCTTGACCTGCATTAGCATTGCGTGGCGAATCGCTCGATGGACGAGATGCAGCGTCGAGCGTTCCTACTAGTATTTCCCATTCTTCGAGATCGATTGAGTTGTGCCGACCCTCATGAATGAGATAGACGTAGTCGGAGATCTAAAGCAAAGCAGAACAGTAAGCACAAGTTTGGACCTGTGGATTGATAACACTTCTGTTCTGCTCACCTGGTTGTGCGTCGCTGGTAGGCCGAGTAGTCTAAGCCCCTGTAGGATTTGACTAACGCCGATACGCCCTTCATTGTCTCGATCAAGAACTCCAAACACTCGTGCCGGGTAGTTGTCATACCTCGGAGAGCGAGAACGAGCACCGCGATTGGTGGAGTTGGAAAAAGGCGCTGGTGAGTTACGTGATGAAAATGACTGCTGGGACCTCTGTGGCGATAAGTGCAAAGATGACCATCCTAGACCCGATCTTCGCATTCCCGGTGAGGGCGTTGTCGAGCGAGGCGAACTCCGTTTATCTGGTGCTGGAGGTTCAATAGTGAG